TGTTTGCTGATACCTATCTGGCACAAAAGCCTTTTGCCACTGAAAAGAGCAAAGACGGGTCACATACTGTGCCTTGCTGGAGACTGAATTAGCATTTTGGAAGTTCAAATAGAAAAGCTAATTCACATCATGCTTAAAAATGATGAAATGGGCGTTGTAACTGTAAAGTTTAGTGATTTGTGGACAAGATCCCAGAAAGTCAGTCAATACAAGAAAAAGACTATGTGAGAGAGAAATGAAAATAAAGACAGAAACCTTTATCTAAAGTAAGATATAGGCTCGATATGGAAGAGGTTTACCAAATGAATCCACAGGGATTAAGGAAAGAAAAGAGCCTTATCCAGGAAAATCCTGATGGGATTTCTGAACTCTAAGGATATAGAAAAACCTGTACAAGCATCCAGACAAGGGATCAATTTTGTAGCAAGGTAAGAAGAATCAGGTTAGTATAAATTTCTCATCTTCATGGCTGTATGATACCAAGACAACAAAATAATCTCAGTAGACAATGGAAAATAAGAGCACAATCCAAGAATATTATACCCAGCAGAGATACTCATTGAAAGCAGAAGCCATATGATAGACACCAAAAGGCTTACCTTGTAACTAACAAAATTACATATAGCTAAACAACAGAAAAACCCCTAGCAATTGCTGTAGTAAAACGAAAATGTGGTAACAGATACTTTAAGAGAAAGAAATACCAAACAATGTAGGAAAGCAGAGACAAGTAACAAATGGATTGGCCATAGTTCTAAGCTTTGGTGCTGGGCCTCTTAGGCACCTGGAATCAATTCTGCTGAAATTAAATGAAACCTTGGAATGAGGACAGCAAATAGAGGGAGACAACAAACTGTGTTTCTATTCTTGTTCTCCTGAAATAGCATATTAGGGGTTTTGTTTTAAAGACTTGGATAGGGCTGGGGATGTAGTTTAGTGGTAGAGTGTGTATTTAACATGCATGAGGCTCTGAATGTGATCCCCAGAACCAAATAAAACTTATAAATTAAATAAATAACTGCTTGGGTAACATGCATATAGGATTGAAGCTGTGCCACATTATTGTAATGTGTACATTTCAATCCTTAAGTCTTATATTGGCTTAGAGGGTATTGTGTATACGTGTTGGTATACAAAAGTATACTGCATATGCAGATTTTGGATTCAAAATCACATCAAATTTGAAATGAAGATGTTAAGAGGTACTATATACTTTGGTATCTTCTAACAGGATAATATAGTTGTCCCTCAGTATGCCCAGGAGATTTGTTTCAGGATCCTCCCCTATACCAAAGTCTGGAGGACCTTGTATAAAATGGTGTAACGTCTGCACAGGACCTGTACACAGCCTCTTGAATACTTCACATCGTCTCTAGATGGCTTATAATACTACATTGTGATTGCTATAAATCACATTGTAGTTTAAGGAATTATGACAAGAAAAACTTTTATTAATTTTATTTAAAATATTTTCAGTTCATAGTTGGTTAGATCTGTGTGTGATACCCACAGATATGGAAGCTAACACTGCTGTTATTCACGTCTGCTGTCAAATACCCAGGAGATGCAGAATGCTATAGTGAAGTTTCACTCCCTAAGAAACAGGAACTATGTGCTCACCTCCTGGTAACCACCAATTCTATTGCCTGCCATCCTACATCAAGGCATGGACACCTCTGGTCATATGTTAGCCACTGTCTTTAGCATATGGGTCCACTTTGGGGTTGTTTTTTCTAGAGGTTGTGTGCAGGGGAATTGGGTTTCTAGATTTTTCTTGTCACTCCTACAGACCATCCCTGAGGTTCACTATCCTCTATAAATGTCAGAATCTTGTTGTAGAGTTTTGGCATGGAGGCAACTCAGTATTCTTGGGACCTCTAGTTCCTGTCTTGGTGGATGTTGAACATCTGATCATGTACTTGGAAAAAGGTTTTGGAATTGTCCAACCAGCTTCAGAGTTTGTGATGGGCTGAGTCTACAGGATGTTAGACCCTACAGAGTCCTTCCCAGTAGTAGTTGTCCTGATGTATGCCATCTCTGTAGTCTGTGGACTGCTCTGAGGAACTGACCCTTTAACAATGTAGCACTGAGAGACAGTCATTCATGAGCTCCTTGCAGATGGGATCCATGTTGCTCTACTGCTGGTGAGTTTCTGTGTGGTAAATTCATGCATTGGAAGTACCTGTTTATAGCAATATGGATGTCCACACCCTTAGTGTCTACTGGATGGAATAATTATCTTCTCGGCTCTTTTGGAAATGACCCCAATGATGTGACTTCGGCCATCTGGTAGAAGCAGTCTCACTGCAGGATGTGTTTTGGGCACCACTACAGGCACAGTGCTGTGCTCGATACTCTGGGATGCAGGATGTAAATGGCTTCTAGTTTATGAGCTCCTTGGGGGAGATACAGCTTCATAAAGAGAATATTCAGGGATGGGAGCTCAGAGCCTGGGCAGTGACTATGGAGCTCAGCCTCGGCCTCCTTGTGTCTGACCCCATTGCTTATACCACCTAACTTTCCACTCAGCCCTTTCTCACTTACCTCCACTGCTCTAGTTTAAGATCACATTTCCTTTTTATAGTTTTATTGAACTGTGCTAAAATAGATATGAAAAAATATGCAAGTGTTGGTACTGGAAAGAAGGTCCAGTGGTTAAGAGTGTGTGGTGTTCTTTCGGAGGACCTGAGTTCAGTTTCCAGAATCCACATGGTGGCTTCCAACCATCTGTAACTGAAGTTCTAGGGGATCCAACACCCTCTTCTGGCCTCTGTGGTTACTGCACACACATGATGCATATCCATAAATGCAGGAAAAATATGTACATAAAATATGCAAATCTTATTTCTGAACTAGATAACTGGAATATGCTTTTAAAAGTAAGTAATGTGGTGGCGCACGCCTTTAATCCCAGCACTTGGGAGGCAGAAGCAGGTGGATCTCTGTGAGTTCAAGGCCAGCCTGGTCTACATAGTGAGTTCCAGAACAGCTGGGACTACAGGGAGACCCTGGCTCAAAAAGACCAAAAAAAAAAAAAAAAAAGTAACTATGGTCCTATAGTCCTTCAAGATGGCTGGGTAGGTAAAGATACTTCCTCACCACCAAGCCTCAGTTTGACTACTGAAGCCACCCACATGACGAAAAGAGAAAACTGACTTCTGAAAATTGTCCTCTGACTTTCACAGCCGCACTGGGGAATGCACATGCCCAGACACACAGACACGCAGATACAGAATAGATAAATAAACGTACCTGTGATGTAAACAGAAACACATTGTACCGTTAAAGTCACTATTGGAGTAAGCGTTTAGCCTAAGTAGACTTTTGACTACCTAGTTCCTCCTTTCCTGTTGAGGACTGTGATAATTCTTTACCAGTTGCCATTCCTCCACCCTTCTGTTTCCTCAAATCTCCTCCATGCTAGGTTCATAGAGGTGAGACCAAAAGAGGAATCCACTAGCAGTTGCCGAGTGATCTTGCCTGGCTGGGGGTTAAAGTGCAGACTGATGAACAGTACTGTCCCATTGTGGGTGCAGGAAATCAGCAAGGTTGCAGTGGTTCCCTGCTCTTCCCCCTGTAGGCTGCAGCTGCATCCTGTTCTGTGTTCCGTAGAGGTGAGACCAAAAGAGGAATCCTTGGTGGCATATGCTCACTAGCAGTTGCCGAGTGATCTTGCCTGGCTGGGGGTTAAAGTGCAGACTGATGAACAGTACTGTCCCATTGTGGGTGCAGGAAATCAGCAAGGTTGCAGTGGTTCCCTGCTCTTCCCCCTGTAGGCTGCAGCTGCATCCTGTTCTGTGTTCCTCTAGTACTCTTGGCCAGGCAGCTCTCCCCTGCCTGCTGAGCCCTGAGTCTGTGAGGCTGGCCACTTGTATTGATTGTCTGTACTTTACTCAGCTAAGACAGTTCCTACAAATTGGCCCCTTGGTGAAGGCGATTGTGGAATGAGGAGGAGGGAAAGGACAGGACAAGCTTACAGAAGAGGGAGACTGAGCTGGATTGCAAAGAGCTGCAGATTCAAGACTTGTTTGATTTTTTTTAAATCCTTTTTTATTTTTATTTTTTGAGACAGGGTCTCCCTATAGCCCCAGATGTCCTGGAACTTACTATGTAGATCAGGCTGGTCTCAATCTCACAGAGACTCACCTGCCTCTGCCTCACAGAGATCTAGGAAGACAGTCTCTGTCTTCTGAGTGCTGGGATTAAAGGCATGTTCTACCAGGTCTGGCCTGATTTTTAATCTTAATATATAATTTTATTTATAATTTACTACAAAATGACAATAGCATAATTTTCATGGTTAAAAATGTTCTGTATTGAGTCTCACCCAGTCTTCCTAAATGTACTTATACTTAATTGTAAAATTTATAGTTGATGAACAGTAATAGAAGAATTTGGGGTCATAGCATGATGCTTCAGTGCCCGTATATCTTGAGTTATGCAGCAGGGGTTTAGATGAAAGACTTGAGGTCCTTCCTCATTGGTCTTCATGATGTCTTTTGAAGAGATAGTTCTCCTGTTCTCTTTTGAGAAGAATTACCCCAATCTTATGACTCTTCCTCTTGGCCAACTGTGCCACCCTTACCAAAGTAAACCTTGTACAGAGGTCAAGAATGAGCCTGTAGGCTGCATGTGGCTAGCAGTAGAGCACCTGCCAAACATGCATAAGCCTGGGTTCCAGCCCTAGCACTGAAGCAAAGCAAATCAATGAGCCCATGCTTTACAAGGCCAAGATGGGCATCCTCCTCTCCTCTCTGCCTTTACTCAAGCTCTGCTTATCTGCAGGCCCCTGTGGCATAGCCACAGCCTCTTCCCAGTACATGAAGCATCTGCGTGGGACTGTCACAGTCCTTGAATATCTGTGCATTCACAGTACTCTGAGAAAATATATTGTAGGACATGGTGGTAGTTGTGGCACTGGCTACGTGGCAGGCCATGTGATTCTTAGGTTGGCCATGTCTGTGTGGTTCTGACTGCTCTCTCCATCTTCCTCCCCACAGTGGCTGCATCTAGGTAATTATGGCTGTGTGAGTGTCCACCATGGCCCACCGAAAGCGCCAGAGCACAAGCAGCATGTTGGACCACAGGGCTAGGCCAGGTCCTATCCCCCATGAGCAAGAGCCTGAGAGCGAGGACACAGAACTGCCTTTGGAAGGCTACATGCCCACAGGCCTGGAGCTGGGCACTCTGCAGCCAGAGAGCCCCACGCCTGAGGAGCAGGAGTGCCACAACCACAGCCCCGATGGGGATTCCAGCTCCGACTATGTGAATAACACATCCGAAGAGGAGGACTATGATGAGGGCCTCCCCGAGGAGGAGGAGGGCATCACCTACTACATCCGATACTGCCCTGAGGATGACAGCTATCTAGAGGGCATGGACTGTAATGGGGAGGAGTATGTGGCCCATGGTGTGCATCCCGTGGACACTGACGAGTGTCAAGAGGCGGTAGAGGAGTGGACAGACTCAGTGGGCCCTCATGCCCGTAGCCATGGGGCTGAAAGTAGCCAGGAATACCCAGACAGCCACCTACCTATCCCAGAGGATGAGCCTTCTGTCCTAGAGGTCCATGACCAGGAAGAAGATGGCCACTACTGTCCTAGCAAGGAGAGCTACCAGGACTACTACCCCTCAGAGGCCAATGGGAATGCGGGTGGTGCCTCCCCCTACCGCCTGAGGCGTGGGGACGGGGACCTGGAGGAGCAGGAGGAGGATATTGACCAGATCGTGGCTGAGATCAAGATGAGCCTGAGCATGACCAGCATCGCCAGCGAGGCCAGTCCTGAGCACATGCCAGAGCTGGGACCCGGGGACTCCACAGAGGCCTGTTTACCCAGCAACACCAGCCATGGGCCCAGCAGGCATGAGGCAAGGCCCAAGTCGCTGAACCTCCCTTCTGAGGCCAAGCACCCTGGAGACCCCCAGAGAGAACTCAAGAGCAAGACCAGGACCCCAGAGGAGAGGCCAAAGTGGCCCCAAGAGCAGGTAGGACTTGGCCATTCCCAGGGAAAGGGGAAGAGGGTCACAGAGAGCTGTGGTATCACCCAAAAGATAGTAAAGCCCAGGTGGGGTGATGATAGACAGGAGGGATCAGCTGCTTTCCAGTGTACAATATGAGCTTTGTTAATTTGTTCAGTTACTGCCATGTTTCAAGAACATTGTGGCCACTCATAAGCCCATCCCTTAGATTCAGGAGCCCATAAAAGGGATTCTCCCAATGAGGGCCAATTGACAACTAATGTCTCCTAGGAGATGCCCTGCCCCCAGGATCAGGCTGTAGCCTACTGCCTGAATCTGCTCATGGAAGGCAAGTGTCCATGTGACCTCCTGCTTCCTCAGGTGGCCACCTCAGGCCAGCAGTGAGGGCAGCAGCAGGAGGATGCTGGTGTTCATTCCCTTCCCTGGCCAGTGGGATGAGTGCATTTCACAGTGGCCATTGCAGCTGGGTGACATGTCTCCAAAACTGTCTTGGCCTGATGGGTACTTAGTTGTGAATAGCTGCTCTGTTTTGAAAAATCATTATTTGAAAAAGTTTGACCAAGTCTTAGAGAAGAAATACATGCTAATGAGAGTGAGGGATGTAAACATAACTATGCTTTATTTTAATTACAGCAAACAAGTATATATTCTAACAAACACACTTTGAAAAACTGGTATTCCAACCTCCATTCCAAAAAAAAAAAAAAAAACTCACCATGAGTTTGTAAAGAAGATGTGATTCCTGAACTTGTTGAAAGAGCTTCTCTTTGACCCATTATGTGGGCTTCTTTCATGGTTTGTAAGGCTTAATTATTTTAGCCCTAGAAGATTTCATGAGTTTGAATATGAATTCAGTATGTATGGAATTCAGTATATACATATACACATCACACAGACATACACAGTGAAAACTTGTATTTGGAATATAAATCATGTTGACTTGCTGTGAGATTGCCAATCCTTGCATTTTGGTGCCTTCTGTTCTAAGTTATTAAGTGCCAGTTGACTTCACTTTGGAGGTATGCCTGCTATTCACAGCAATTCTACATTCACATGGGGGACTGTGAGATATAAAGTACTATTATGCTAGTGAATATTGGGGGCAGAGCCTCTGGCCCTGGGTCTGGGTTCAGGCCAAAGCACCCTCATCTTTCTCTGGACATTTTCAGAAAATGAACTTGTCCCGAACAATAGCGATGGCACTGCAGGGGGCAGATGTGGGTTGTGCAGAGCATGTGACATTCTGTGCTTTGTTGTAATGAGTGTCTTCTCCATCAAAGCTCTGTTAAGAGAAAATTATCTTAGGGCCTAGTGTGGAGTGAGCAAGACCTGGTGCTTTGCTTTTTGTGCTTCATACTAACCCAGATGCTAAGTTGAATGAAATACCATAGAACGTCAGGTTACAGTGCTGGTGAATGAACAAATGGGAAGGCCTAAGTGAATTAGTGGTGGTGGCCATTTGGAAGGGCAGGTAGAGGTTGGGGAAGTCCTAAGCCATCATGAAAGACAGGAAAAAAGAGTGTTCTTCAGAAAAAGGTATTGAATGGAAAAGCAGTCTGGTTCCAGGTATCCTTAAGCAAATTCTTGTCTAAGAAATTATCAAAAACTCATAAAGAGTTGGCTAATGATTATACAGTTTTTTTTGTATTTATTTATTCATTCATTCACTCACAAATTAATCCCATTCAGGGAGTGTCTAGCAATTCCCAGCTCCTAGCTAACCAGGTCCTCATAATAGTAGGCTAAGTACCTCTTTGGAAGATTGTATTGGACTTTGTGCAGGTTGGCAGCGTATACATGTCCTGTATACAGTAATAGCTCAGATCACAGGAAAAGCTCAGATATTGGACCATAATATCCACTGGTGATATAAATTCTCATGGAAGTCAGATTCTCTAAAAGACATGACACTGAATACACTGAAGGCACCTTATTTAAAACCACAGCTAGTTGTTAAAAGTAATCTCTTATTCCCCTCAGGACAGGCAAGCTGTACCAGGAGCCAGCAAAAACCTGACCTAAGACTGGGGACTAGGGAGCCACTGAGCCCCCAGCTTATCTCTGTATTATAGGTGTTGTCTGCATAGTTAGTGCAGCACTACTTAGAACTGAGGTTGTACAAAAGCTAATCTGAACAGAAAGCTGGTGTCCTAGCCTCCCATGTGCTTTATAGATTGTCACTGCACTGTTCAAGTGTAGCGTTGGCAGCAGCATTGGTATCATACAGTCCCCATCCCATGACTGCTGAGTCCTAATTTGTATTTCAACAAGATGATGCATTCAAGTTGGAGAAGCAATGCTGTCAAAGTCTTCAGCTGGAGGGAAGTAGCATAGTGTCCCTCACTCGACAAATATAGTCAGGGTTACTTTTTAAAGTATGGGTTCAGTATACCTAATCTGAAAATGTGAAAGAACACTAAGTCTAAAACTTCTTGTGTGCTGACAGTAGTACTTACTATAAGTGGAAAATTTCACACCTGACCTCCTGAGATGAATTATATTCAAAACACAGGTGTGCTAAAAATTCTGTTATTGGTTTACCTTCTTGATACATGTATATGAAACATATATGAATCTTTATATTTGCAGTGGGTCTCATCCCTGGCATATCTCATTATGTGCTTGCAAATACTTCAGAGTCACAAAATATCCCAAGTCATAAACAGCCACAGACTCAAGCATTCTGTGCAGGGTACTCAGCCTATACTGAATAGAACGCATTCCGTTATCACACAGATGCTAGTAAGTACAAGAGTCCACAGTGTGAGGATGAAAGATGCATTTCCATGGTCCCCACCACCAACATAGGGAACTGTTTTCATTTTTCTGCATTCCCTTTCAGATTGTAGCACTGAGCATAAAGCATGCAGCTGTTGTTATGGCCCAGATAGAACTTCACCATTCAAGTTCTTAATAGCTGACATATAAAAATTTTTCATGTTCCTGTATAATTTTCATGATTATTTTACTGACATTTTAATGTTGCATTTGGGTGATGTCCCATATAATTGCTGTATAATTTATTTGTCTGTGCCTACTCTGCTATTGAACATGCAGGTTGTGGGTGGCGTTTTCTCCTGTATATTAGACATCTTTGTGTGAGTTCTGTTTCCTGTCTTTTGGCGACTTCCTGAGGATAAATGCCTATGCCATACATCAGTGTTGACAGTTTACATTTCTCCATGACTAACTTATCTACTGTGTTCTTTCCGTCTGTGAGTGTTCAGTCCACACCTCTTTTCCTCGCAGTTTTAGTGCTATTCCGTTCCATAGGAGCACTTCATACACTTTGTGCTGCACCTGTTCCTTTTGAATTCAGGTCATGTTATTTCCCTCTCTGTTTTGTTTTTAAGATGTAGATGACCTGTCCATCATCCTCCCACCCCTTTGTTACAGAGAAAGTCAGAAAGATGATTCCTTCTTCCCAAACTTGGGAGATGAGTTCACAGTGGTCACAGCTTTACTTCGGCCTCTGTGGAAACCAAAGTTGCTCCATGTGACAGAAAGTGAGATGTGTAGCCTCTGGGCTTCCCCTGTGCTGTAGGATGCTATGTATGTTCTCAAGTGGATCCAGTCTGATGGGACCAAGAGCTCTGCTCTGGGAGGAGGGTGTGATGTCAGAGACAACAAAGATCCCTAAAGTGGTAGGAATGTGTGATAGGGAACAGAGATCTCTAAGTTTTTCTTGACTTTTAAATTTTTTTGTTCCTGTGCATATACATGTGCGTGGGGGGTGCATATGTGTATGTGTTTGTATGTGCATGTGTGGCTCTGTGTTCATGTGTGTTCACGTATGCTGCATGTGCATGGGCATGTTTGTGTATGTGGAGGCCAGAGGTCAACTTCAGACATCGTCCTCAGATGCTGTCAAGCATGTTTTTGTTGTTTGGTTTTGTTTGGGGGCACAGGGTCTCCCTGTAGCCCCAGCTGGCATGGAGCTCACTATGTAGACCAGGCTGGCTTGATCTCACAGAAATCTGCCTGCCTCTGCCTCCCCGGTAAAGGGATTAAAGGCATGCACCATCACACCTGGCCGTCTACTTTGTTTTTTTGAGACACGGTTTCTTACTTGCCTGGGACTTGCCACATAGGCTAGATTTGCTGGATAGTGAGCCCCAAGATCCTTCTGTCTCTACCTCCTAGTTCTAGGATTACAAGCACATACCACCCAACTGTTTTTTTTTTTTTCCACGTAGGTTCTAGGGATGAGATTCATGTTTATACTCATGCTTATGTAACATGCACTATACTAATGGAGCTATCTCCCCAGCACCATTTCTGGCTTTAAAAAAAAAATAAAAGGTTTGGGGCTGGAGAGAGGTGGTTGACAGTGGTATTAACAGCACTGGCTACTCTTGTAGAGGATCTGGATTCTGTTACCAGCATCCACATGGTGGCTAACTACAGTTTCAGAGGATCTGATGCCCTCTTCTGTCCTCTTTGAACATTGCAAGACATAGATGCACTTAAAGACATGTAGGCAAAACACTCATACACATTTTTTAAAAAGTTTATTTGTGAAAAATATAAAGATGCTTTTGCCATTTGCTTTGTAGGATTCCACTGTAGAAAATTTCCAAAAAAGACAAACTATCTGTCTTGGGAAACCTATGTCACAAGTTCTCAAAGCATAGAGTACTGTAAATAGTGCTATATATACATATATATATGTATATACACATATATAGACACACATATACATACACACATATATACACACACATATATGTATATGTTGAGATGTTTTTAAAAAGAAGAGGCATACATAAGACAAAGTTCTGTATCAATTGGTTGACAAAAAGCATGACTCAAGGTTCACCAGCGTCTACTGCTGTATCTGCCCCTGTTCAGTGGGCACTAATTCAGCACTTGTAGGAACTTCACAGAAGATGATGGTATAAACGAAGATTGATGGAGACTGCTTCCAGGATTCCCTGGGGATATCAAAATCCATGGGTCCTCTAATCCCATAGAAAAGTATTATATTTAGCATTTGCATTTAGCTT